AATCTCGAACAGGCTCATATGAAATAGTCTAATGCAAATATCTGGAACTTCCTGTTTATGAACAATTTGATTTTTTTTAAATTACAATTTTGCAGTTCAGTATATTTGTAAAATTTATTGACGAATTTGCAATTTTTCTGAAAATAGCGATTTATATAGAGAAAATATGACCAAGTATCAGAGCTCCAGATGGTCTTCAAAATATTATGTATAATTAACATCCCGTAGGGTAAGTTATAGTAATCGCAAAAAAATCGAAAATGAACATTTTTATATTACTTTACGTTTCAGAGGTTTCTGAAAATGGACGTATGTGTCGAGTGTGTGTGTGTGCGGATACAAATTTAAGTCGACGATTTTACGAACACGAATCAACCGATTTGAATAATTTAAAAAGCATTCGATTGCTACTGATAAGGAGTCGTGCTGATTAGGTTTTGGCAACGGCAGGTTTAGCCGTTTCGCGACTAAAAGTGCCAAAAATGGTATTTTAGTTTTTGAGATAACGGAGCATCTGATTTAAGTAATTCAAAAAACATTTTACTTGTACTGACGAAATAAACAACTGGTAAATTTTTTTGTGGACGCAGGTTTAGCGTCTCCCGAGATCCAATAAAAAAGTAAAAAATAATGCCATTTGGGAGTCAAAAATGAAAATTAAACATTTGTACATTGTATTATCAGATATTTTATAAACATTATAATAATGAGTACAAATTGTTTGGGTTCCGTACCAATTTCTACACTACGCGGCGCTTAAGCGCTTTGATATTTCGACTTCAACTCAGCTATGCAGCACGATTGCTTAAAAAAATGTTCGAGATTTTCAAAAAAATTGAAGTAAAAAAAAATCAAAATATTAAAGAAATCTAAATTTACAAAAACGTCAATTTTTTTCAAAAGTTTCGAAATTTCTCAAAAATATAATTTTTTCACAGTTTTGCAAAGTTTCTTTTAGTAATTTAGTTTTCGGTACTGGAATTTCCAGCAATTTGCCTTATGGCACGATGCTATGCCTCACTACTTTAATGTGAAATATTGATCACCACGATTTGGAAAACTGGTTGAAGCTTACAAGAACATTATATTTTTGGATTGCGGACATCCAGTTTATGAACTTTAGGTTTTCGCAACTCTTCAGACGTTTTTCTAAATTGTTCTTATTATTGAAAAATTGGATAAATTTTCGCTTAAACACAATTACCATTAAAAAAATTATCTCTTCTTTTTATAATGAAATCAACAAAAGACTCGGAATGCTTTGCTATCGTTTTGGTAATTTGTCAGAAAATGAATAGGGACTGAAAATTCAAATAGTATTAGAGATTTTTTTTCCGTATTTCATGGCGTTCTTGCGATGTGTTCGAATTTGAATGTATGAAGTTCATCTCTTTATAAATATTTACGCATTGGCTAGTCGGGTTACCAAACTATTCAAATTACTTTTCAACCAACTTTATTTTGTATTATTGTTACGAATTTTTCGTTTTTCTGATCGGGATACATGAGAATTATTGATTCGAACATGTAAACTTTTTTGATTTCTATTTCGTTTATTAAGATGCTTAATAATGTTAATTGAAAGTAATCACATGCTCTATTTGACGAGAAACGTGCTATTTTTATTTACTCTTAACCTTCAATTAATCTTATATTTCTATCACTATAACTGTATTGAAATTGATTTTGGCATGTCATTGATGGTGAAATTTACAATCAAAGTTATTGGAATTTTATTCGAGACGAAATATTAGTTTTAATTGCTAAACACAATTAAATCGTGTCATCTGCTTTAGTGGTATTTTATCTTGAAATTAAAACTTCATCTTCGGATTTAAGTTGTTAGAATTTGAGTAGTTGTTAAGTTGTTAGATTCTTTTTGGTTTGAAGAAAGAAACAGAGTACAGAGTGTGGAGTTTTGTTTCATGACTTCGTCAGATGACATCTTGTCATATATAAAAATATATTAATTTGATATTACAATTTTACAATTTATGAATAAATTACAATTACTAAAATTGCTATTATTGTTCTTGCAATAGCTATTAAAAAATATTACTGCGTACGTAAATTAAAATCTTTTAGTTTCATAATTAATTAGCATATTATGATCCAATATTGTTATTACATATGTAAAGCAGTTGAAATCGTTATTTGAAAGTGAAATTTTAATCAATTTTTTTCTTAAAAAATATCCTTGAATATGTGGGTATTAGTACAATATAGAACATCGAACCCTTATACAAGACCTTTTATACTAATTTCAATTTTTAATTAAAAAAAGATTAATTTTTGAATGTATTTAATGAAATGTGCGTAAGCTATTCTTTGAAAATTGGGATAATATAATAGTCAACAGTCACTTTTTTAAATAATTAAGAGGAATGTTTCGTATTATTAAACTTTATAACTTTGTTAAAACATTTTTTGTATTCTTTTTTTAAAGATGTATTTAATGTTGTTTTATGACAACACGTTGATGAAGTATTGTTGAATTTGTTTTAAATGATTGTGTGTTACATTGAAAGGTGTAATGATTGCTGTCTCAATAGTCTGCAGCTTTTACCAAATTAATTATTACCATTTTTTTCATTCCCCAAATTTTATTAATTTCAGCAGCAAAAAAACTTTTATTGTGTTAATCTATAAAAACTTTCATGCAAAATCTTAAAGCTTATGCAAAGTAGAGGCAATTTTACGATTTATTTTATGGCGTCTTCAAAATATCACATAATAAATAATATTTTATACATTATCCTTTGTAGACTAGCTTTTTGTATTCTTCTGTATCTTGGATACTGCTTTAGATTTTCGCATAGTTTCTGAGAACGAGCTCTTTTATTATTATACAGTTTATGAACTATGACGTGATGTGCATAATTATGAATTTACTTATGGGATAATATGTATAATATTCATCTAGCTGTTATGATGCCAGTATATCATTGTCTACATCAAAACATTTAAGAAGCAGTTCATATTGTTTTTAACAATAGAATAGTCTAACAATAGGGTTTCTTATTAATCTTTGATAAAATTAATTTTATTCAATTATGTGGATTCATTTATTTCAACTGCGAATAAAAGGGTCTCTAAATGCTTGTATATCGGTGATAATCATTCTATTTTATATTAGGTTATCATTGATATTTTGACAATAATGTAATTAAAATACAGGGATATTTTTAAAGGTACGGGGTATGTTTTTTCGCGTTAAAAATAGATTTTCTTACATCTAAATTATGCTTCCGTTAATAATTGATATTTATTACTTAGTTAGATCACAGTTACTGAGCAATTATTTACATTTCCTGCACTTTATAAAAATCGTCCTATAACATTTTACGGTCTAACAATTCACATTTAAGTGAATTAGAATGCAATGTTATTTTTTATTTTACTGATCGCGTAGCTCTAGTACGGTTCAATTATTTATTTAATGTAGTGAAAATTAATAATTTTTCAATTCAAAATTAAGAAACGTAGGTATATGAATACTTAGGGAGAAGTCCCCTACTGGCGGACACCTAAGGTTATTTAAAAATAAATCAAAAAATATTGTACGAATTGTTTATTAAATTATGATTTATGTTAGATATCAAAGTTAGAAATCAAACTAAATTAACAACCGTAATCTTTGCTGAAAAATAATTAATACTGTCAATCCATCTTTGGTATCAAAAAATATGATTTTAAACAATGGCACCTAGTACCGGACATCTCAAAATAACAGTCTGAAATGTCTGCACATGTGTCTTTGACAAATATTCTCAGATATTGCAAAAAAAGTCACTATTCATCCATCCTTTTGGCTTGGCCACACCGTTGCTCTCAGCTGGTGCATTCACAATAAGCTTTTCATTCTTTGACTAGGGAATACGAAAAATGGGGGAATGTAGTGACCGTTGGCACTCATACAGAACAAAATTAAATAATTGGAATAAATTACGTAAATTCTCGCAAGAAATATTAATAAGTTTACTGTCCGGCACTAAGGAAAGACTTAGTGTCCGGTTCTAAGGGACAGACATATTCGCTCATTTGGTGGCACCTACTAAAATTGGTTAAAAGATCTAATAATTCTACCATTTCACGGATAACAATAAAGTACAACTTTTATCTTTGCATACCACTCAAATGTAAATGCATAAATATGCTAGAATTACTTCAATTGATATTTAAGTGACGCCGCGATTTTTTGTCTAAAACAGGAAAGGGTTGCTCACAGGCGAGGCTTGCCGCGTGATCCTGTACCTGTGTGCCCTTCATGCCCCTTTTACTTGTATTTTGAAATCAAAAGATTTATACTCGCTTAAATAATGCGTGTTAAAGAGAGTGTCCAGTGCTTGGTGCCGTCCGTCGTTACGGGACTTTCCCATAATTTTGTGCGTTTAAAAGCGATGGAACAATCTTACTACTCTATTTCTAAATATTTTTGACCGAAACAAAATACATTTTGTTTGAATACTCTACTTTTATAGTAAAAAGTAAATATCGATTGATCGATTTATTTTTTTTATAGACCATCATCGCATCCTCTCGTAATTTCTTTATAATATTGGTGCTTCTGGAAATATTACACAAATTGGGCTTTTGCTATAATAGTTTAATCCTTTGATATACAGACGATAATTTAATGTATCAGTTACAAGCGTCAAGGTGTCGAATTTTGCTTCAATATTTATCACTCTGAGTCGGATTTGTTGAGAATTCTATTTTGTTATTTTGGTTTATTGTTTTTAGAAGTATATTTTTCATTTTTAAATACATTTTGATTGATATTGATTGAAAAATCTTGAAATATATTGTTGAGCAAGTACTTGGGACTGCTTGATGGCTCGTATAGCACTGACACTCTTGCAGAAAACACCACCGTAGCAAAAGGGTTACTGTGTTAGTGTATTTATTTATATATGGTGTATTGATTTTTGTTATTGGCTAATATTCTAAAATTATTTGGTAAATTCATTTGCATTTGTAAATATCAAAATATAACTTACCAATGCAGCTTGATGCAAATGTTTGTTTTTTGATGGAGGCACGACTACTGGGCCATACTGGCCGACGACGTTGCTCGCCTGCGCTTGCAATCGTTTGTTTCCTGTTTTGTTGCTTCCCGGTCTGTAAAAGGTAAAAAACTGTTATAATCACATAATTATCATTTTACTCTGTACTATGATTTTAATTGCTTGTTGACACAACTCTTATTATTAGAAATCCAAATTCGAACTGGAGTATAATAAAACTTTTTACACGTAATTACAATTAATAAATTTTCGACTTTTTTAAGACTTCATAATATAAATGCATAATTATCTACTAAAGTGCATGGCATCGTGCCTTAAGGCAAATTGCTCGAACTACCCGTACCGTCATTAAAAATCTTGGTACGGAACCCAAAAAAATTTCCACAAAATGTGTACACATTATTAAAATCTCTATAAACTATCTGATAATTTGATGTGCATAAGTCCAACAAATATTTTTGACCGCTAAATGATATTTTTTTTAACTTATTTTTACTGAGAGTCCGTAACCGCTCGACCTGCCTTCCCAAAAATTTGATCAGTTCTTCATCTTGTCAATACAAGTAAAATGTTTTTTGAATTATTAAAATCGGACGCTCCGTTTTCTTAAAAACAGAGTTACCGTTTTTGGCACTTTTTGCCCCGTATTTTCTAAGGTATGCCAAAATGTTCAGAAACCTTTGAAACGTAAATATATATAAAAATTTTCATTTTTGATTGTTTTGCGATTACTATAACTTGCCATACGGGAAGTTAATCATTTTTTTTATTAATTAATATATATGATACACTTTTACTTTTTTAATATAGTTTGGTTTTAATCACGAGTTGTCAAAACTCTTCTCACTATAAATTCAAATTTTGCTTCAAGCATTTTTAATCGTACTTTTTGCCCTACATAGGAGAATTTATTGTGAAAGCAGTTTGAAAATATTATTTTAATATTAATTGGTTTGTTAAACTCTTTTTACATAAAGAGCTGAACTAAGATAAAGAAAACTCAACTTTGCACTCATTTTATATATATGGATCTGCCATTTTCACCATTTTCACCAAAAGTCGATTTTTATATTTTTGAACAAATTTAAGTCTTTTTATTTTATGAAACTATATCATATTTTATAAGCTATATTTTGAGTAAACATTGATTTCATTCATACATTTGATAAATTTTAAACATCATATACATATATCTGGCAACATAAATAAATCTAAGTAAATATGTATTTGGAAGCAATGACACTAGAAATATTTTTTTTACGAAATCTTTTTACTGAATGATAAATAATACTGAAATTATTGTTTTTTCAATAGCTGTTAAGAAATATTACTGCCTACGTAAATTAAAAACTTTCAGTATTTCATATTTAAGATTTAACGTGAACTTGGTAGCACAGTAATTTAAAATACTTTTCTGATCTATAATGATATAATATTGTTTAGTAATATAATATTGCCAATTATCATTTGAGTAAAGCACTTAAAATCGTTAGCTTGAAAATAAAATTTTAATATATTATCCTTAAATACGGATTTTAGTATCATACTTAATTGGACACTATGTAAAATTTTTACTCGGTAATATTTGAATCACTAACTGATTAAGGATGAAGATCAGATTTTTGCTGGTAATTTCAAACTTGATGAAAGACGAAATTACTGAAATTTAACTTTGCATTGTATTGAATGTAATTTGTGTAAAATAATATTTGATAATGCAACTGGTTTAATACATTTTGCGATTGCAATGTTCTTTACAAAAAATATTAAATATTATGTGGATGATACAATTTTACAATATATATATTATATATAAGAAAAATTGCTGAGACTTAAATGTACTATAGGTAATTATAGTGAAAGTAGAAATGAATAAAATTAAACTAGATTCTCATAACACTTCATCTAATATTTGAGTATTAAATACTTTTCCTTTAAAGTATATAATTATTTCTCAATGGTTTATGTATGTCACTTTCTTTATTAAGTGTATACAGTTATTTATCAGAAATTTAAATTTTTCAAAATAATTTTAATTGTGACTTCAATGTATGTTTCTACTTACATTATGTAAAACTTACGGAGTTTAAACTTTGGTTTACTTAATAAATACAAATTAAAAATAATTCGGCTCAAATAAATGTTGAAAGTGATAGAATGCTGCAAAAAAATGATTTTGCAACAAATACACGTCTCTTCTTTTTACCGGTAGATCTTTAGATCTGTTTTCAGCAATTTTTTTTCTTGAATAGTTGAAGTAGAAGTTCAAAGTTGTCTATCGTATAAGTACATCATTATCCGAAAGTGAACACAAATGAATAATTAATCAAGATTCTATCAAACACTGATTATTGCAATAAAATTGATTGAAATCAATAGTACTTGCAAAAGTTCTTTGATTCTAATTGAAATAATTGCAAACATCAATAATAATCAGGTACCCAAAAAAAATGAAAAAAAAAACACCCTCAAAATAAACTATGGAAGGCGCGTAACACGTTTGAACAGATTACAGCGACAAGAATGTGACAATGACAATGACGTTCAACATCTGACACAATTGTTATTAGCTACTAATCAGCCAGTTTTTAAATAAGGCCACTGTGTCATTTGTTCATATATCATTCGTTCGTATTTTCCCTTTTACTTCTGTTATCGAGAAGTTTATCAAACTAGCCCCTAAGTAAAATTCGTGCGATTACATCTTTTTAACGGCTCGTAGTATGCATAGAACACAAATTGGAAATTTTCACTTATATACTCATCTTGATATATTGTTTTCATTTCTATTTCACAAATGGACGTGCTAATATCGATGTTTTTCGATCGGCTGACTTTTAGCTATTTCAAATTGGCTGTAAACCTGAATATACCTGCCTATAAAATAAGACGTCATAATTTCATCAATTGTTCTTTGATTTTGTATAGTATAGCGGATGTGCATTTAGTTTAATGAAAATTCCTCGAGAATCGAGATATCTAGCGCAGATTAGCAAAAACCGATCGCACGCAACCACGAAGGAAAACGCCCGCCAATCGATATAGTCTTTTGTTACATTATTTCATATTTTATATAAATTAACAATTCAGCCGTGATGTGGCTCAGAAATGCACGTTTCATTTTTTTAAACTACATGTAAGATCATAGTTCGGAATTTAGAAAAAATAGGTTTCATATTATATGTGGAGCTGTCTGTTATAAGTAATGTATCTCTAGAATGTAAAATAGTGAACCTTTCACTCAAATTATTTAATATTTCATTATCTGTACTTATCAAAGTTTTATCAAAGTTTAACTTGATTTCTTATGATCTACATGCTATATAGGTAGATTGTTTAGAATGGTGTTAAATGAATCTGTGGAGATTTGATTAATGTTTGCTGTAAACAGTTTATCACCAATTTGTTCAATCTTCCTAATTTTATTGACTCGTTAAAAACGTTATTTCGATTTTATGAAGCTTTAACTTACTGGTTTATTGCAACTATAGAACTATTTGCTGATTCCTACTACTTATTCATATTGTTCAACGCAATTAATCTGATACAAAATGCCATATTAGTTTTAATAATTCATTTTTTTTATTTATTTGCAATAATCTCTAGATTAATTAAAAAATTAATTGATTTTCAAAATTTTTAATTATATTCAAACAAATTATATTCCCATTTATAGATTTAAATAAAATCGTTCGTTGGGAGTTAATTTTATAATTAAATCCCACCTTCTTTAGTTTTGATGTATATATTTGTATTTAATTTTTTTTTGTAAAAGCATTAATTGTGGAAACATTGTATATGAAAGCCAACATTAAATATTAAATTCATCAATAAAATTACCTACTTTTTGTGAATCAAAAAATCTCTTCGAATGACTGTTTTGATACTGAAATTATTGGTGCATCTATTGCTTTATATGTCTGTTTCCTAAGAACCACATACCTTTATGCTTATCTAGTTTTTATTTAAGTTCACAAAATTTATCAGAATAAGTAATATGAATGTAGTAAATAATTTCTAGTAAAAATGCAATTAGGTTCTTACTTTTTAAATAAGTTTTTATTTAAGTTACCTGGGATGATGCGCAATATACGGATTCGTTGGGTAGGAATATCCAGAATTTCCTGTAACGCCAAGACCCCATTCATTAATTTCATTTATGTCCTCTGGCTTAGGCTGATGTACGTAAGAATTTCTGTGTGTGTCGAATGCAAATGATGGAGCCCTGTAAAAATAAATGGATAATATTAATCAGAGTGATTTACTTACGGACACAAACGTCCAATTTGACTTTGAGCAATTATATTGTGAAAATCAAACCAATTATATTACAACAAATAACACATATCAAACAATTATCTGACTATGTTTAGTAAAACTCTTTGTTAGCTAATTCATCGTTGAAGAAATGCTTTTTTGCTGTTTTTCAAAAATTTGTCACCTGATCTTTTTTACCATCCCATAGGCAGGCTAAAATTGGACAGCCAGGAGAAAACAAGTACAATGTCTTATTTTTAATTTTAGAGGGATTTCACTAAACGATAGTTGCATTATTCAACCAATGCAAAATATAAATTTCATGCATACATTTTTATAGATATAACACTGTATGTTGTATAACTATTTATTGAACTTATCTCTTGCAAAATAGCTTTTTTTAAATTAATTTACTTTCTGCTTCTTTTCATTTTAGCCAGGGTAAAGGCTGAGATGGTCCTTTTAACCCTACCTACATGTAAGCTTTTATAGATGTTATATAAAAAACTGTTGAATCTAACTTAAAAATAAGAATACATCTTATAAAACAATTTAATAAGTTCTCGTAAATTGAGCAACAGTGCTCATGATAAAAAAAACTAACTCGTTATGAATTTTCAAACACTGCCGTAAATCTCCCGGAAGCGACGTCGTAAGAATCAATGTGATGGCTGGTTATTAGTGGTTATACATCTTTTTCCCTCTACTTACAAATATTATTCTTCCGAATTTTCCGTGTTTTTTGAGAAATCGGTGGTGGATTTTTTTATCCTCGGACCTTTATACAATGTTTGTAATTGAATTGATTGCTTATTGCATGTAGCATATGCTTATGTAAAATTTTCATCTCGAATTCATGCAATTAATTCGCATTCTTCACATTACTTACATACTTTATTGATAATCCTATCTGCATGCTATTAAAATGTGATAATTCATGGGATACATATATGCTATATGATGAATATAAATAGTTTGCATATAAAATGTTTTGCTAAACATTTTCAAGTTTTAAAATTGTTTTAGGTCCCAGTTCTGAAATGTCAATCAGTGATATTGAAAATATCACTCCATTACATTAAAAATTCTTTCATAATTTGGTAAAACTTAATAATAAATTTAAACGTGTTTATCATCTATAGCCCAGTCATTTGATGCAAAAAAATGCTGTTGCCTAAAGAGTTTTCCGGATGTTTTGAAAATTGGTGATTTTATAGATTTTGATGTGATCTTTACGAATTTCAACTTTGCCACCTCGAATTTTTGCCGCTGCCGCCGCTATATTGGAAAAATTGCGTCAATAATCAGTTTTTCAACGATATCTTCTTTCTAACTCATATTACATTAAAATAACTATATACAAAATTAAACTAGACAAAATTTTCTACAATTTATTCAATAACGTTTTTTTCTGTAACATCAATAGTTTTAGCGTACGTGCGCCGCAAAGTTTCTGCTGCTCGCGCCACCATCGGATATTTGGCCGCTCTTTGCACTTGAACGCATTCTCTCTAATAAATAAATAATTTCAATGTTGAATTAAGCTTTTCTGCTCAGGTCTGGTCTAAAAATAACATAAATTAATTATTTTTGTTTTTCATTTTAATTTTTGCTGATGATTGAACATTTTAAATCATACAATTTAATGCATTTTTTTTTATTTTTTTGGCAATATTTATATAAATTTTGAAATATTAAACTATGAAATAATGAATGAACTCAAATTAGAACTGTATATAGGAATAATCTTTGGCGATAATCGTTCCAATAACTCGATTGCAACGAATAGATTACTGCGTATTGTATATAAGATTATATTATCTTCTAATAACAACACACAACGTCAATTATCTGCATTTCTACATCTACATATGAATAATATGTTCAGAATCAATAGAAGTATTTTTTCTAGATGTCAGTATATTTTTGTCGTTCCGTATACTAGTGTTACTTGCATTTTTGAAGCCATGGCTACTAATAACGTGGATTGTTTTATTTGTGAAACTCCATTGCGAGAAGGTGAAGTGATTGAAGTGATCATATATTGTTTTTGCACGCCTTCAGTGGCTGCGATACAACTTCAGCAATTTTTAATCAAGGTAAAATGAAATATATAGATACGCTATGTAAAAATCAAAATCTAAATGAAGGTATTCATATATTTAAAAATCCAAAAGCTGATCCAGAGATCATTGCCACAGCTGGAGAACGCTTCCTTCTTAAATTGTACGGTTGTAGTGATTAGAATACCATAAAAAATAAATCTTTAAACGTATTTAGATATGAGTGCTTTACAAAATCGGCATACAAAATTAAATTTAATATTGCAACACTACCACCAACGCAGGCAGCAGCACGACAACATTCATTTCGAACATATCAGCAAATTCAGCAGTGATATGGGAATGAGATAAATGCAGAACAATGGGGATAAAAAAGAAGCAAAAATGGCCTGATTCCTGTGACCTCAGTCGAGCCTCCAGCGCCGGACAACTTGTTGAAACTGATTTCTTGCAAATGCAAAAAGGGATGTCAGAAAGCCTGTGGATGCAGAAAGGCAGGATTGAAGTGCTCCATTATCTGCACAAATTGTAGTGGAACCTGTAGTAATGCACAAGTTCCATAACAAGATAGTGATGAAGAGGAAGACGCAGATAGCATTTTCGAACAACTTTGCAATGACGATAATCCCATCGCGGATAATATCGAAGAAAGTGCAACCTCTGACGTTTCGATTGTCCATGAAGACGATTAACTAATAACATATGACCCTTCGAGAACATCAAACTGAAGGTAAGAAGTTAATTAAGTAAATTATAAAAAAATCCAGTTTAATTTAATATAAAACTATTCTTACAAACAATTTAAAACTTGCATCAAATTACACATTTTAATGTTCAATCATCAGCAAAAATTAAAATGAAAAACAAAAATAATTAATTTATGTTATTTTTAGACCAGACCTGAGCAGAAAAGCTTAATTCAACATTGAAATTATTTATTTATTAGAGAGAATGCGTTCAAGTGCAAAGAGCGGCCAAATATCCAATGGTGGCGCGAGCAGCAGAAACTTTGCGGCGCACGTACGCTAAAACTATTGATGTTACAGAAAAAAACGTTATTGAATAAATTGTAGAAAATTTTGTCTAGTTTAATTTTGTATATAGTTATTTTAATGTAATATGAGTTAGAAAGAAGATATCGTTGAAAAACTGATTATTGACGCAATTTTTCCAATATAGCGGCGGCAGCGGCAAAAATTCGAGGTGGCAAAGTTGAAATTCGTAAAGATCACATCAAAATCTATAAAATCACCAATTTTCAAAACATCCGGAAAACTCTTTAGGTAAAACTACCAAATGACTGAACTACTAAATGTATAGAAACTCAAGATTAGAAAACAATTTTAATTACGTCCGTTTGCCATTGTTCCTCCTATTGAGTAAATAGTATTTTTCACTCTTTTAATTTAATTCTGCTCTATTCTTAACAATGAACTTTAAAATTTTTGTTTAAATAAAATCTTCTTTAATCTTTTTCTCACATATGAATTTATGCAAAATATTAACTGTTTTTTAATGCAGTCGACGCACATAAAATCATTAATTGCTAATTTGTCCCTAAAATCTATTCCAAAGAACTTAATTTCCAAAATATATTAAATAGAAAGAACAATCAATTGGTTGATTTAAAAAGCCATATAATTCTGTAGTATTAACATAATAGATTATAAAATTTATGCTGTTTAAAAATAATAAAAAATGTATTTGGCTTGTTTTCTAAGTTTTAAATGATTTTTAGTATTTAATAATCTGGTATTATAATTAGTGTTGCAAAGAAGTTTTCTCGTTTGGCGAATATATGCCTTTATTGTTAAATTACTTAGAAAAGAAACACTTAAAATAGAATTTCTTATGTCTTTAGAAAAATCTAATCATTTATCAAGTACCATATTTGTAAAACTTTCTCTCAATTTGGAAGAATAAATATATTTTATATTAGAAAATACAATTAGAACAATAAGAATCGTATACGCTCAGTGAGTTTCTTAATTATTCGTCTCGCTTTTGTAGAATTAATCTTGCACACAGAAAATATTCCGATATTTATCATAATTTTGTATATTTTGTAGGAGTTTTATAGTCCTCTTATAACGATTGTTAAATACGTAATTATCTTTGAATATTTAATCACATGTTTGCATTTTAAATAGCGCTAATGATTATTCTACTCATTCGTATGTGATCTTAATGATTATTTCTGTATTTTGACTATTTCATGACTATTTCAGTACAGACTCTCAAAATAAAAAAATACATTATTACAAAGGTATTGAACAATGTAAATCTTACTTAAAAGCAAGACCTTAATTTGAAACCATTTCATTTAAGGATGAAAATAAACTAGTAGCGAAGCACTGCATCTAATTCATTGTGAAAAACTTGGTCAAAAGTTTCGTTCTCTTTGTAAATATTATTCGTAGCATATTGTGGATTTTATATATACATTTATTTTACTTGCTAAATTTGATTATTTGCGCAGCGAGTTCTAGGAAAAATAAATGAAATATAATTTTAGTAATACGAATTTTATTTTAAAAATAATAATTTTTATAACGAAAATCGTTTTAAACGCAAAACTAAATTACCATAATGAAATAGTTTCATAATTCTTTTCATATTACTAAATATAAAAAATATTTTGTGCGATCTTTTTGTAATATTCCAATTACGCATCATATTGTTAGGTAATCAATTGATCGTATGAAAAAAGTCTTACAATAATTATCGGATACTTAAATTATCAGAAACTTCAAAACTTATCAATTGAAAATGATACTTATTAAAAAAACGCTTAATATTGAAGTAATCAAATTTGATTTTATTTACAATTAATATTATACTTTTTTGCTAGTATTAGCAAAATCAGTGTTTGCATGTTTATAATCATTAAAAACATTGAGATGAAATGGGCATTTCCTGGACCATGAACTTCGCAATCAAAATTATTAATTATACATGTAAACGCTATAATCGAATGCTGTGCCTGCTTTCTTTAGAAGTTGAAAGCGCAATTATAATTTCAAGATGTTCATAAATGAATATTTATATATCTGAGATGAAAAATTCAATTTTAATATATGTACAAGATTGAGCTTTGAATCATATTCAAAGAGAATCAAAAATGATTTTACATTAAAAATACAATAATTTTTTTTTTAAAAATATGATGTAAAACTAAATAAATGATTTAGTCGATATAGAGTTGAGATATAAACTTTATTTACCCACAAGTCTGATGATTCATTCAATTTTTGATATATTGTAGAATTGAGCTTTTCTCTAAACGTGCTTCTTTGGATATCCTATTTTTAACTAATGCGGGTAAAATAAGAAATTATTGAATTCAATTCCACTTTCAATTGAAGTGGAATTACTTGATACGGTTTTATGATATGAGTAATAACTGGCCAGAACTTTGAAAAGGAAAATTCTTTGAATAAAAATTTCAAAAAAGAAAAACTAATTTTTTTAATTATCAATTTTTTTTAAATATCAAATTCGAATTTGAATTTTAATTTTAGCTGAAATTCTAAAGATCACTTATATACTAGAAATAAAATAATTTTAAGTTTTCAATTTAGTTTATATATTTTTATATTAGAAATATGAGTTATGAGAATTTTTATATGAGAAATGAGAAATATGAGTTTTGTTTATTTACTTTTCACGTAAACATATATGAACGCCGATTTTTAATTTAAAAGCTTTTATATTTGTTCTATAAGATACGAATAATGAAAAATACAGTTTTTATAATGATCTAATTGAAAATATTTAACATTTCTCGAATATTTCATTACGGTACGGGAAGTTCCAGTAATTTGCTTTAAGGCACGATGCCATGCATTACTGGCTTTTCTATATTGATTATTTTGCTATGTTAAACAAAAAATGCAGAAAATTTTCAAAGAAAAATAAAAGCTTAATTTGTGTAGTTCAATCACGGACTGCACAAAATAGAGCCCATAATATGCCGCCAGAATAGCCAGATAATTATAAGAGCTTTATAATTACCATTTACTATTCGTACTACAAAAAGAGATATGGTAAAATCGTATTTTTACGATTACAAGCATTTTTATCAAGTACCACTAATAGAACGAATAACATACAAACTGATCCATGCGAAGAGTTACAAAAAAAAAGACTCAAAAAGAAATGGTTTCACCATTTAAACAAAATTTACTAAATTATTCTTCTTAATCTAGATATTTACTCCACGCTTTACACTAGCAGCTGAAAACGTTTTTGAACCTAAGTTTCAGACTAGTCATGATAAAATATATATCTTTTTCAAACTTACCCAAAGGCCGGGCCCGGGTAATCGTACTCGGTGTGCGAGGGTTCATATGGCGCTGGCTGAACTGGCAACTCGTGCGGTTTGTGCCCGGAGTCGTGGGCGGCCAGTTGAAGCTCGTAAGGCACGTGCGGGTGATGCGGTGGATGATCGAGCTCAACCGGTGGATGGTCGAGTTCCACAGGCGAGTGAGGAGAATCGTACGATATGTGCGGTACCTGCAAATAAAAATTATTTGAGTTTTATTCTTAATTATGATATAATATTAATTTTGAAACAACGAAATGGGTATTAAGGTGGAACAAAGTGCTGTAGATCACCTACAAAATTTGCGGGATGTGGATGTTTTTTTTTACTAAACCCTAACTTCTATAGTTAGTCGAAAAAAATATTGTATTATGATACAAAATCTTGAATTCAATTAAAGGGGTTGTTCTTTTTTTGTTACAAAAAATGCAAGATATTTGTTTTTTTTTTTTTAAATGTATTTATCATAGAGACATGCGGTTTTTTTAAACAAAAATTACAAAGTCATAGAATATTACGTGATTTTCTCCTTTTTTTTTGCGCCGTCATTTTTTAACCAGATGGCGCCAAAGTCGGTCTTGCAAAATCGATCTCTTTTGCGGTGCCACAGATAAATCTGTTGCGCATCGCCCGAAACAAAAAAAAAGAAACTACGTTGAAGAAGAAGTTTGAATCCTGTCCCCCTACCAAAATGAAAGAAAAAAAGCAATAAGGAAAAAAATGGCAGCTATTTAAAAAAAAGTGTCATAAAAGGCCTTTTTTTGGGGCGAGAAGCTTCGCAAAATTTTTTTGCGTAATGTTATCAAGTTGTTTGAGGTAGGGGGACTAGGTATTGCAGTGGTGAACAAATTAAAAAAAAATTCAAGTCGATCCGACTTGTAGTTTTTTTTTAATTTGTGGCACCGCATTGAAAAAAGTCAATTTGAGAAAAACGTATTTAAAGTTTTTAATATAATGTACTAAATACACCATTTAATTTAATGTACTAAGTACTAAGATGCTGACACATTAATAAGGTCATGTGCATGAGGTATTATAATGAAAAAGAGGCAGCTGGCATACAATAGCTCGCGGAGCGATAAAAAAACGCTTTCAGAGGATCATACATATAGAGATAAATATATCTATAACTTCGTCAAAAAAATAGATATTGAGATGATTTTTTTTAAAAATAATTCTAAGGTTTTTAGCTTTCATAATATCAAAAAATCTCAAAACTGAAACAAAGAAAAATAAAAAAAGAACAACCCCCTTAAAGAAACCTATATAAATTCAATGTTTGCTACGAAATTGCTCTATTGTGTCTTTTATTATTGGCGCATAATTCCAGTGAAAATTAGTACTCGTTTATAAAATCAATAAAGGTCGATTATTACTACAAATAGTTGAAACGTTTGGTTTTAGTTAGGATTTGCATCAAGATTAATTTTGCAGCAAAATATTTATTTATTTGGTGATGTTGAAACTAAAATTATCAGTAATAAATTGACATGCAAAATTAATCTTGATGCCATGATTAATAAATATTATGGAACAGCCCATATAGATTTGGGCTGACATATGTTAACAACAAATACAAGAAACTTTTAATTGGAGTGCGCTCTATCTAAATGTTAATATTAAGAGCTAAAACTATTAGAGATTAATTTTTTAATAATTTGGAAGCACTGCCCTGTGGAGCAAAGAAATTCGAAGATATCCATGTTAAGAACAAACCCTAATATTTATATATATATATATATATATATATATATATACAGGGGCGTAGCGTGCATTGGCAGGGCCCCGTATCAAAATTTTTTTGGGGCCCCCCTCAGGTGGGGCAAAATTTTCTTACATAAAAATAATAAATAAATTAATTAATAAATCTTCACTTATCATCAATATTCATCTAGCCCTTTCCAATATTTCTACAAACAATTCAAATTCAGCATACACATTTATTAAATCATTTATAGCTTATGATGTCTATAGTTCTTGATATAGTTTCTTGATAAAACCAATTTTGATGAAACGAATTTTCATGATCATAGCCATCATTTTTTTTTCAAGATATCATTGAAAATGTCATCATTTGCAGTTGCAAATGGGTAAATAGTATGCAAAAATTACTTTGAGAAAAATGAATGCAAAACTATTGAATTTTGCCAGCAATGGAAAATGAATTTCATATTTAAAACATATTTTTAGAGAGTTTACAATTACAATTACAATAAAAATTAAAAGAGATTATCTTACTGTACTGTAGTGGTTTGCGAAATGACCCTAATTGTAATTTTTCGAACATAATAATCGAGTCGAAGTCTCTGAAATCTGTTCAGGATGAGAAATTAATATATTTAATTAGCAAAATGTTGAGTTTGAAATAAAATTACGGGTCGCTATACTTTGCATATAGTTTTCGTTACGTTCCATTCCTTTGTTAATTTATCGAGACATTTAGCAAATTGCTAAATTAATTTTGATTTTTTAATTTGCACAATGTATTCAAGAAATGACTTAATCAAATGCCAGTTTTCTATTCTATCACAACCCTCGAAAATTATATTTTTATATTCTACATGCTCATGTTTTTTTTTTCAAATTAAATTCAGTTGGAAGTAAATTTTCATGATTAGTTTAACTTTTGCTATTTGTGAAATTAAATAAAAATTTGTAAGCTTCTACTAAATTTTGCGCATGTTTGGCGCCCCCATGGCCCGGTAAAAATAAAGCTCTTTAAAACAATAAATTTACATTCCTTGTTTCTTCCATTATTATTATTATTATTATATGCAGATCACACACCTAATAAGCCTTTATCTTTTAAAGGTACGATCAAGAGGCTTTGAAGCGTAAAGATATCAAAAACTTTTCCCAGTTTGAATCAATAACATATTCTGCAAGAAGTTGAATAAAATATATGCTTTGATTACTTGTACTTTCACTTTATTTATCGTTTTAATGATCAAGTAAGTTTGTCGACCAGTATTCCATAAGCTACTAATTACATTTTAAACGATATTTAAGTTTATAGAGTATATCTGTAACCTACTTGCTTGCACGCTCTTTACCTTGAAATAAAAAGTGTTTATACTCAATAAATGAGACTTATAACCCACAAATTAAAACAAATCAACAGAACCATTTTTAGATAATATTGATTATTGATTATTATTTTACAAAATAATTTAACCTGACTCATCATGTTTATACATTTATGCCATTATATAAAATGAATAATATTTTAGTTTGTCTTTCTTTGATCCTGTATATTTATACAACATATGTATTTGAAGTTACTGTTTAATTAATAATGTATCTGAAAAAAATCATGATCGTCGCTAAATTTGTTAAAGGATTTTTTATATTAATTCTAAATGTCTGTAAGCAAAGTAATATAATGCGTCACGATAAAAGCTGATATGATTGTGATGTCTCATGATAAATGCTAGAATTACAATACGAAGTGTTTTAACAATACCAACTTCTTTCACGAATATCGTAATAAAATATCACTTATATCAGTATTGAATCATTTGCACGCATTTTTCTGATATTGTGTTAGATCTATTCATGTTGTTTATTGAATAGACAAACAATGGTGCGTGAAATTTTGACACAGATAACATTTGTGAAATTCTATAGTTGTTAATGTGTTCTAATTTTCGTGATGGATTATTTAGTTTTCAAGAGGTTATTATCTTAATCTTATCACATGCTATACTTATAATGTATAAATGAGCTTTAAGTCATATCTCGAATGGCAGACAATTTTGACATTTTCAAAGTCATCCTGAAAGATTTGATAGATTATAGTTCCAAATAGGCCAACATTTCTAGTCAGCTGTATATTAATATTTTATAAATGATTATGTTAGACGGAAAGACTGTAAAAATATATGTTCTTTAAACAAAATGCAAATTTGACGGTATAGCAATGCTTTATTTCATTTTATTCTTATTGTTAGTACATTATAAATTTTATTCATTTTTCATATGTCAATAACAATCAGTAATCAAGTTTAAACTATGTGTTCTATGAGCTGTTGTGATATAATTCATCATATTGATAGATATCATGGTTTTAAAGAACATACTAAACTATTACGACTCTACGACAGGTCGTTTTTTAAAAATTCATCAAATTTTGAGAAAAGTTGTGCGAAAAACCGGTTTCGTGATGTGATAAGTCAAAAATTGGAATTTAGCAAGTCGATATGGAAGGGCCGTGATTAGATTTGCGAAAAGATCAGCCAAGCCATTAGAAATGGCTTTGGAATTAGCAAAAAAGTAAGTGATAAGTCTGCAAAACTTTTAGTTGTGTAAAAAATGTTACTTTTAAATGATAAAATAATATCAAGTACTAAGTACATGATATATGTAACCGTGGCAGTATTTTCGTATAGCAGATCTTAATATTGTACAAAATAATTCATAAAGTTTATTAAAAAAAAAGTTTCGACAATTTTCGTGAAATTTAACATGGCGATAAAGTTCATGTATTAAACAGTACTAAGAAAATTGGTTGAATCATATAAATTAGTATTTAAAGTTTGGTATAATAAGCTACAATTTTAGATATATCAGCACACGTGTCTGTGCACTATAATTAATTACAGATAATTTAAATGTGTTTGAGGGACATCAGTTGTAAATTGTAATGTATAGACTTGATTGAAAGCGAAAACTTTATTTTAGAAATAAACAGTTGAAAATTTTATCTAAATATCTAAATCTCAATTTTTTTTGATTAAGTCAATTATAACACATTTCGGGAAGTTCATGCAACTTGCCTTTATGCAACTTGCCTTCATGCAACTTACCTTCAGACAAAATGACCTTTTCAACTAGTTTTTTTTATAGAAACGGTTGAATGAACCACCGGCGCAAGAGATAGAAAAAATCTAATTTATTAAATTCGATTGTCCCTATTAGAAATATCTACTAGCAAATATTATAATTGCTTTAGAAAATATAAATGGAGTAAGTACGTGGCGTTATTTGAAAACAATTATGGGTTATGGGAACGTGACAATGGAAAGCGCTAAATATGTACGATGATACAAGATAATTACAAAAATAATTCGACTTTTATCATACAATTCACACAAAGTTGTTTTTGGCCATGTCAGAAAAAATCCACGTAGAATGTTTTTTATTATTATGAATATAATAAAATTAACAGACGAGCAACTTGTTATATATATTT